ACCCCCGAGAGCAGAGGCGCCTTCCCTGCCCTCTGCTGCTACCCCAGCCACCCCCGCCATCCTGGGCCGGCAGGACGGGGGGATGGGGACCTGAGGGGCTGAGCACAGAGGAACTGTTTAAACTTCCAGTTCAGACCAAGTGGCTTCTCCTGACCACCCCCTGCGGCCCCCTCCCCTGTCGTACTCGAACACTCGCACACACGGGGCTCTGCTGCCCCCTCGTGAGCCGTGCTCACACCTGTGCAGGCTACCTGGGCTGGGCCGCTGTCGGGAGACCCGCCGGGCAGGTAGAGGTTCACCCCTGGAAAAATCCATGTTCTGTGAATCATAGGAACTTGCTGTTTGCAGCCGTTGAAAACAGCCACTTGTCCCAAGTTCTTGGGGGTTCTGTCTGAGTGGGACCTGGCAGTGGGCAAGCTGCAGGCAGAGCCACTGGTCTGACTGGGCTAGCGGGTGGGCCCCATGTGGGTGGGCAGCCCCTGCCTCAGTCCCCGCCCTGCACCTTTCTTCCTCCCCCTCCCCTCAGGGTGCCAGGCTGAAAAATGGAGCAAGTGTGCTTGTGGGGTGGTCAACATGGACAGAGGCCTGCACTGTGTCAGGCCCACTGACCAGGTGTCTCAATGTCCGTTTGTGCCTTCGGCCCTCACAATAGCCCTGCAAGGAGGAATCTGGTTTTTAATTTTACTTTTAATTGTGTAACATACATATAACATAAAACGTTCCATCTTAACCATTTTTACGGGTCCAGGTCAGTGGCATTAAGAACACTGACATTATTGTGCAGCCGTCACCACCATCCATCTCCAGACCTCTTTCATCTTGCAAAACTGACACTCTTTACCCGTGAACCACTAACTCCCCACCCTCTGCCCCAGCCCCTGGTGCCCACCATCCTACTCTGTCTCTGTGAAGCTAATAGCTCTAGGTCGTTCATGCAGGTGCGGTCTCACAGTACTTACCTTTTTGTGACTGGCTCATTTCACTGATGTCCTCAAGGTTCATCTATGTCATCACTGGTGTCAGAATTTCCTTCCTTTCTAAGGCTGAATAATATTCCATTGCATGTATAGACCACATTTTGTTTATCCATTCATCCACTGATGGCCGCTTGGGTTGTTTTCCACCTTTTGGTTATTCAAAATAACTTTCAAGGCCACAGCTTTGGGGTGAGGATGTTGGGGGTTAGTGAACCATG